GTGGTTTGTTGTGTGGGGTCAGGAAGACATAGAGCAACACACACGAAAAAAAAAAAAGGGGGAAAGAGGGGGGGGGGGGGGGGGGGGGGGGGGGGGGGTTAAACAAACGAACCCCAAAGCAAAACGGGTGTAGACCCCCCCCCCACCCCACAAAGGGGCTTTGACTGGCTCATGAATCCAATCCTTCCACCCTTGCAGCCAAACTGGACAAATGTGCTTACACACGTGTTTATTTATATTAAGAAAGCCACTCCAGAGGGAGAAACACACACACCCTCCTGAAATAGATCTCTTGCTACTAATTCGTCAGAATTGAGGCCAGTGTTACGCGAGCGAGCACTGGGAATAGTTCTACTTTGATTTTTGTTATGCAATCTTTACGAAAACAGTTACTTACAGACATTACACAGATTACATAAAGACAATACTATGAGCAAGAAACTTGAAGGGACCAAGTCACACATAAACGGAGGGGCTTTCATCTGAGGGGGATTATAACCGGAATAGAAACAGGAATTCAAAACAAAGCTATAGCAGTACGTTGTGCACTTGCTGGTTTTTAATCAAGCTTGAAACTTCATCACTGATAAATCGAAATCATTTCCATAAATTTGGAGGAGGGCACATTATATCCGAGGGTCCTTCTAATCGGATGTAATTTTTTGTTTACATGTAGATGGATGGGCTTGTAACTGGGTAACCTGCGATCAGGCTTTTTTTCCCGTCGTCACCCAAACAAAAGGGACCTACGGCAGTGAAAACGTCACTAAAAGTGAATTCGCGTTCTTTCAATCTCCATCGCGATTACTCCAAGTCCCTAACTTTGTCCAATGTAGGCGAACCCTCCTAAAGTTGCATTCCTGTTCAGAAAGAGAGAGGAAATCTCGTCGTCGCTTGTGTACTTCCTCTGTACATCGTGAAATTAGGCATTTTCACGTTGTGAGATAGATAGAGATAGATAGGTGCTTTATTGTCTTAATACCTTGCAGCCATAGGCTGAATTACGAAAGACATTACAATAAAAGGACATTACAATAAAGACATTACAATAAAAAAAGGTATATAAAATATAACAATAAAAAGGTAAAAGGTATAAAAATTGCTGCTATAACTAACTAATTAAACACTACTAAGCGCAGAAAACGTGACTAAAAATGAAAGATTTTTTGCATCGATTGGTCTTGCACAAAGGTAAAGCAAAGTTCCGATTTCCCCTTAGAAAATAATTTGCTGGATTCTTGGGAGGAAGGAGTTTGTGAAGAGTGTGCCCGGGGTATAACGCTGCGTAATTTCTTTCGCTCTTAAAAGTCTCCCGGCTCTTCTACCTCTATAACGTGGCCAGTAGTTTCTTCCGTAAGCACTTAGAAGTGATCTGAAGTGGGTAAGAGCCATTCTGCGTTATCAAACTGCTAAAAAACTTAAAGATAAGACGGAGTAATAAAAGTGCGGCCATGCAAGGCGCATACAAAGTTAAGTTGAATAGTTGTAGTCGTGCAGTGACGGTAAAGAAATGTACAAAAAAGCGTGATGCACGTGCAAAATTGTTGTTTTGCTAATTAAACCTAATGCTTTTGTGGCGTTCCCGTTGCCGTCGTCGAATCTTAAGGTCCCTAAAAAATGTATTTACATTCGGCGGAGCTAAACGTAGTGGCAGTGACAGAGAATGTTAATACTTTCCTATTGGTATGAACGCACGTGAGCGGCTTATTTTTGAATCGGAGGTCCTGCCCTATAACGTCAACCCTCTTTCCGTTTCTATTCAGTCATCTAGGAAAAAGAGGTTGATCTCGGACCTTAGGTTTGTAAATATGCATGTCTGGAAGCAAAAGGTCAAGTTTGAGGATCTTCAGGTTGCTCTAAATTATTTTGACAAGGGTCATTTCATGTTTTCATTTGACATTAAGAGCGGTTATTACCATGTGTTTATCTTTCCGCCCCACCAGACATTTTTGGGTTTTTCCTGGTTTTACCAGGGTAAGGTCCGTTATTTGTGTTTAAAGGGTCATGCCCTTCGGCCTCTGTTCAGCCCCTTTTGTTTCCACAAAGATTTTTAGGCCTCTCGTTGCCTACTGGAGGCGGGATGGTATTCACATTGATGTTTATCTAGATGATGGTTTAGGGGAGGGGCCTTCATATCAGGTTGCTTTAGCCCATTCCACCAGGGTTAAGACTGATTTGGTTCGTTCTGGCTTTGTACCCAACCTCGAGAAATCTGTTTGGGTTCCTACATCAGTCCTTGATTGGTTGGGTTTCACCATTGATCTTTTTCAGGGTTTGCTTTTTGTTCCGGGATAAAGCTCAAGCGGGTTCTTTCTGATAGTGATTCCCTTTTAGAGGCTAATTATTGCACCGCCAGGGAACTGTCCGCTCTTGCTGGTCGTATTAATTCCTTTAAACTAGCTGTAGGTAATGTTACAACATTGATGACAAAGTTTATTCATATGTCCATCGTCCTTCAGCCTAGTTGGGACTCTAGGTTTCCTTTGTCCGATTCTGTCAAAGAAGAGCTTTTTTTCTGGAAAGAGAACGTTCGGTGTTTGAATGGGAGGCCCATTGGGGTCACTTTTCATGTTCTCGTTCCATTGTTTATTCAGATGCTAGTGACCTAGGGGTTGGCG